ACGTTGGGGTGCTGAGCCAGCTGCAGGCTCCACTTCTCGCCCTCGCTCACCGCCTGGGCGAAGCAGGTGACGTTGTCCTCGGTCCCGCCCAGGTAGCGCTGGGTGAGCTCACACTGCAGCGACACCTGCCGGGAGGGGCAGCCTGTCAGTGCCAGGGCGGCAGAGCCGAGAGCCAAGTCAAGAGGGGCTGGGGCCCAGCAGGCCCCAGGTGGACTGGAGCAAGTGGGACATGGAGGAAGGAAGCTGGTACTGCCCCACCAGTCAGGCTCAGGAACCAGGCAGGCCAAGCCAGCTGGAAGAGGACCCAGGACTCTCAATCTTGGAGGTTGGCCCATGTAGTCCTCTCCCACCTGCAGTGCAGCATGGAGGCCCCGGTGGCACCCAGCTCCCTGCCTTCCAGGGGCATCTGCCAGATTCTCCCCCCCCCACCCCACTTCCTTCACAAGGCAGAGGTGGGAAACCCCCAGGGCCCATGTCTCAGGAGAGGGTGTCTGGGCCCCGGTCAGTGCTGACACATGAGCATTGAAGGCTCCTTTGGTCTCCCTGCTCTTCAGGCCCCGGCTCCATCGCACCCATGAGCAGGGCCTGCGTAACCCCATCATGCCCTTGGCTCCACCTCTACCCATGCCCAATGCGACTCAGTCAGACCCACACCCAGTGCCTTGCCCATGCCTGGTCCCGGGGCTCCCAGCTGCGGCGTGGGAGGGATGCGGCTCCCAGGGTGAGGTGCCTACAAATTGTCTGCCCCGGGCCCCTCAGCAGCCAGCCCCTGGGAAGGGTTATGGTTGCTCCCAGCCCCTGCTGGACTCCAGTCACTGGCCTGGAGGCAAAAGATGCCTCAGAGCACCCAGTCCCCTCCAGCCAGGGCCTTGCACTGCAGGCACAGGAAAGGGGCTTTTCTGAGGGGCCTGTCCCACCCCCTGGCGGCTGCAGGAGCTGAATAGACACAGGCCGAGTCCCCCTCCCCACCCACACTGCAAGGGGCAGAAGCTGGGGGTGACGGGGCACCACACAGGGGGTCAGAATGATACCCCCCAGCCTGTGTGGCAGTGGCCCACGGCCGCTCTCTGAGCCGGGGCGGCGCCATACGGCAGGTGGCCAGAGCAGAGAGCAAACTGACCTGGCAGCCAAGTTTGTCTGCGCTCCCCCTGCCCTGCCTCCGCACATGGGTCCCCTTTGAATCACACCAGGGCAGTGATTTGCGGGGAGCCCCCAGGCTTGGCCAATACCACAGGTATCCTTTGCTTGCCGGCTTGTGCCTACCCAGCTTTGTCAGGGTGGGGGGACATAATGGGGCTCTGAGGAATTGCCCATGGTGGGGGCTGCACGGTCCGGCAGCTCGCAGCAGCTGCAGGAAGTGGGTGGGCAGCCTGGGGCAGTTGGTAGGGGTGGCTCACACCTTTCCTGCGGCACCAGGCTCAGAGCTGGAGCTGTGGGGGCTATTCGGGGATTCACACCTTGCCATCCGGGTAGTACCGCAGCAGGAAGAGGGCACCTGAGCCCGGGCCCTCCTGTTCGCAGGTGACTTTGCCGTTGGGATCAGCCGCCAGGAAGCGCTGCAGTGAGCTGATCAGATGCACCCTCTGCCCCCTCTCCTCGTCCTGCCCGGCTGCCCCGGCCCCCTGCGGGGACACGAAGCGCAGCACCCAGACCTGGCGGGGCCGCAGCACCAAGCCCGTGGCCACCACCTGGAAGCGGAAGGCCTCAGCGCTCAGGTACCGGTGAGCAGCATTGATAAAGCCACAGGGCAGTGAAACCGGCACAGTGGAGTCAGCCATGGGGCTCTGATCTCTTACTCCCTCCACCTAGGCTGCTCTGTGGGGCTGGTACTGCTCAGACACGCCCACAACAATGGGCACCAGGCAACTAGGCAATCACTGCACACCACCTGGAAGCGGAAGGCCTCAGCGCTCAGGTACCGGTGAGCAGCATTGATAAAGCCACAGGGCAGTGAAACCGGCACAGTGGAGTCAGCCATGGGGCTCTGATCTCTTACTCCCTCCACCTAGGCTGCTCTGTGGGGCTGGTACTGCTCAGACACGCCCACAACAATGGGCACCAGGCAACTAGGCAATCACTGCAT